CCAATTCTTTATGGCAGGGGGTTGGAACTAGATGATCTTAAGGTCTTTTCCAACCCTAACTATTCTATGATTGCTATATGGAAGTTTGTGTCTTTGGTGAAGAGCAGATAATGTTTTCCACCCTTTCCCCAGTCTTCTGTTCAGGAAGCAATGATACATAAGTTTCATCATGGTTAAATGAGACACAATTAAAAATGTTACAGTATTTTCAGGATTTAGATACCTGACTTTTTGTCAGGGTCCGATTGGAGAAAACCCCAGTGTTGGACCCAGTTTTGTTCGTGATCCCAAGAGTGAAATTAAGACGCTGAGGTCAAGTACCGTATTGATCAGTTGGTTTATTATAAAAAGACAATTATTATAATAAATGGAAATTATTGTAATAAAGGGAATAGCAATAGGACAGATTGGAAAAAAGGATGGAAATGAAGCAAGAATCCGGTGTGCAGAGAGAGAGAAAGAGAGAATCACCACCATGGATCCAGCAGTGTCCCGGGGGTCCGTCGCCAGTGGTGGGAGTTCTCCAGGGTTTGCAGTTGATATCGGAGCAGAGCATCCCCTAAGAGCCTGTAGTTGGTGGAGGTGTGCTTTTGGAGTTGTCCCCGTGAAGGTACCCATGGAGGTAATTGGTGGAGTGTCCTGATGGAGTTGTCCTCATGGCAATGCCTCGGGCAGGATGTCCTCAGGGTCTGTAGTAGTCATTGGTGGAGAGTGTCTTCACTGTCCTCCCTGGAGGTTACCTTTTACCCCTTTTATAATGAGTTGGGGGAGTACCTCTGTTCTTATTCCTGGTGGACCAGTTTCGCTTGTCTTGCAGCCAGCTCTTCAACTGCACATGCCTGCAGCAATTCTTGGGATAATGGACAGCAATCCCTCACACAGTTCCTTGAGATAACGGATGAAGAGTCTTATCTCAGCTCTTTTCCACTCATCCCTCAGGCAGTGGACAGTGGAGTCCCAGTTCAGCTCCTCACACCCTTCTCCCAGGCAATGGACATTGGAGTCTTATCTCAACTCCTGCCACCCATCTCTGAGACAATGGATTGGTGGAATTCCATCTCAGCTTCTCATACCAATCTTTGAGACAATGGACAGTGGAATCTGATTTCAGATCAGTGTCTCACACTTTAAGTGATTCTTGGGAGAACTCAAAATTCTTATATTCTTGTGAGATCTGCTAGAACCTCTGAAGTCTTGATTGACAATGATTAATTTACACAGGGAGAAGAACAGTTTCATGTATCAGGGTGGAATTTACGAAGGTGAAACAGGCAATTTTAGTGTGGTAGGTTAAGTCCACATCATGTATGATTTTATTTGGGTAATACCTGGAATAGAATGGTAAAAATAACTTGTCTGTTGTCCACTTAAGAAGAAAATGTTTTATGCATCTACCATGCACTTAAGCTAGTCATACCAAGAAGTTGTGGAGCTTAGTGGACCTTACGGGAAGGGAACCAAGTATTGCACTAAAAACTTGGATCTTTACTATTCCTTGGTGCATTCTTGTCATGGTTTAAGCCCAGCCAGTAACTCGGAATCACGCAGCCACTTGGTCACTCCCCTTCTTCTTCCTCTCCCCGCTCCCAGAGGGATGGGGAGGAGAATCAAAAGAATGTAACTCCCACAGGTTGAGATAAGAGCATTTCAGTAACTAAGGTATAATACAAACCACTACTGCTACCAATAATAATGATAAGGGAAATAACAAGGGGAGAGGACACAACCGCTCACCACCCGCCGACCGATACCCAGCCCGACCCGAGCAGCGATCTGGACCTTCCGGGTAACTCCCCCCAGTTTCTATACTGGCCATGACGTGCTGTGGTATGGAATAGCCCTTTGGCCAGTTTGGGTCAGGTGTCCTGTCTCTGCTTCCTCCCGGCTTCCCCTTCTCTCTGACAGAGCATGAGACTGAGAAAGTCCTTGGTCAGAGTAAACATTACTGAGCAACAACTAAAAACATCGGTGTTATCAGCGTTGTTCCCAGACTGAAAGTCAAAACCACAGCACTGCACCAGCTACTAAGAAGGAGAAAAATGACTGCTGTAGCTGAACCCAGGACAATTCTATATAGTGGCCTATAAGAAAGATGGAGAGAGATTTTTTTAGCAGGGCCTGTTGCGATAGGATGAGGAGTAATGGTTTAAGCTGAAAGAGGGGAGATTCAGGCTGGATGTGAAGAAAAATTCTTTGCAATGAGGGTGGTAAAACACTGGCACAGGTTGCTCAGAGAGGTGGTGGATGCACCATCCCTGGAGACATTCAAGGCCAGGCTGGATGTGGTTCTGGGCAGCCTGATGTAGTTGAAGATATCCCTGCTCATTGCAGGGGGGTTGGACTAGGTGACCTTTGAAGGTCCCTTCCAATTCAGACCACACTGATTCTATGGTTCTAACAGGTTGGTTGTATTCTGTTACCATAGTTCACATCAAGATGCACTTGTACTCTTGGCCAAGTACATATGCTAGTGTATTCTAATTGTGTCAAAACTATTAAATATATTTTCTGTCTTATGTAACTTTTCCCACTGGAATGGCTAAGTTAAAGTGCTTTCTTAAAATGAAGTAAGTGGTTGTTCTGGAAGATAAGGATGCTTTCTGAAGATTGACCATGTCTAAACTTGGGTCACTGTTCTTGTTCAATAACAACCTAGATCAAGTTCTCTTAAATTCAAGAAGACCTTATATTGAGAAAAGTACAGTAACTGTGAGAAGATAAGGTTCTCTGTACACCAATTTTGTAGGTAGGGCTGAAGGTAGCTTGTGTTTGATAAATATTTTGTTCTTGCTTTTCATGACTTTAAATCAGGGTAATTTCCTGTTGCTCTGCATACAGACTTTTTTCAGCATTAATATTAGTATTTCTTAATTATCTTCTCTGTTATACTGGAATTATGCTGATGCTTCTGTTATTAAATACTAAAGTAAATGTTTCTTCTAGCAACTGTCAGGTGCTAGATAGCACTTCCCACGAACATGAGCATGGGGAACTCAAGGTCTGCAATTACAAATATTTATTTTCCAGCATTGTGTTCTTTTGAGCATGTTCTTTTAAGTGCTGAATCTCTCACAGAATACTTTTCTGTGAAAACTATCTAATTTGTGTAGGATCTCTGAAGTTTTTCACCAGTGCATATGAAGATGACTTTTGCATCCTGTAGCTGTTTTGACAAGCATTATTTATCAAGTACAGAGGAAATTGATTAACTGTGTTGCAGAATTGTGTAAAATTGAATTCAGAGCCATTTTCTGTTTTTTCGTAATAAAATGATTACTGAAAGAATTCCATCTGAAGACTGTTGAAAGCTGGCTGCAGTTTATGATATAATGGATAAAATCTGCATCCTTGGCCTTCCAACAACCTTTACACCAGCAGATGGTGGGCGTAAAGATGTCATTCATCATTTATTTACAATGGGCTTTATTTATTCCAGTGTCAACAGCTGCCCCAGGGAGCGGGTTATTGAATTCAAATGTGAAGCTCTGGGTTATTTGCTTCCTTTCAAATTTGTCTTCAGAGCTTAGTTGCTAGGAGTCCATTCTGTGCTCTAATAATGATTCATGTATTGTGAAGCCATTCAGTAAATTGGGTTGTCAGGGATTGCCAAAAAAGGTTTAGAGGTCTTGTTCCGACTTTTTTTAAACAGCACTGTGCTCTAGTTGGTGTCTTCTTATGTGCCTTCTCTTGCCGGTGTTAGAGCCTTTGTCCCCTCCCTGATTTACCCTCCATACACTTCCTTGTCCCTATCCTCTCAGAAGTAAAATTCTATGATTCTGTTTTTCCGCTTTTGCAGTTTTCAGCACCAAATGAAAAAAAAAAGATACGAAATAACAAAACTTTGTTTTCTACAGGCAGGGCAGGAGTCCTTCCGCTCCATTACAAGGTCATACTACAGAGGGGCAGCAGGGGCTTTACTAGTGTATGACATCACAAGGTGAGAATACTGAGGAGGTATAACTGGATTAAAATTTTATGTCTTTCTGCTGAAGTGTATTGCACTGTTAAATGTCTAATTTAGTTTGGCTTTTTGTATAGGTACTTGTAATCTAACTTACTGCCAACTTTCCTTTAGTGCTCAAAATCAAGATACTGTCTATGTAACCTAAATACTTCCAATTTTCTCTGTATAGTGGTTGAGGAAAAAGTATATCTAAAGTCTCAGGAAGAATGAGACAAAATATTTTTAATAAACTATTGGACCATGAACTTTTGTATTACTTTTATTGAGAAAGAGCTTAAAATATTTCATTAATTCCTTTCTAGTGTTTTTATTACCATGAACTATAATTTTTCTTTAATTCTAGCAGATTTTTTACTGAGGTGCCATTCTGCAAAGGAGTAAAATAGTAAAACATCAAAGTTTGGTTACATAAAACTACCATGAAACTTTTACCATTGCTGTGTTTATGAGGTTTAGAAAATACAGGTCTTAGTGTGATATCTTTATTTGTTTTCCTTTTTTGGTAGTAGCTGTTCAGAAGGGACAAAAGCTTTTCCTGCTATAGTGAATAAAGTCTCTGTACAACTTGTTATCTGCAAAACTCTGTGTACTGTGCCTGGTTTACAAAAATGTTCAGGCTCCAAAATCCCATTAGGGTGTGTGGATCCCTTTGTGGACCTTGGGTCTCATTGCCAAATTAAGCAACAACTTTTACTAGAGATTTCCTAGATGGTTTTCCTTTTGTTCCTCGTTTATTTTTAAATATCAGGAAGCAATGTATTCTTTCCATTGGATTTCCAGCAAATGAATTTTTGATTCATAAATAGACTGTTTTACTCTTGTGAAATCTTTAACATGCTTTACAAGCATGTGATTTAATATTTAGTGTACACGTTCTGTAAAATCTGTAATACGTCACACTTGTGTACCTTACTTTAAAAGACTTTGCAGCTAAATTCATTATTCAGTTTATGAACACACAGGAAACTGTCAACCATTTTTTGCCTTCGGTAGAATAAATACTACTGTTTGAGTGGTTATTTGTACTGTTACTGGAATTGTTTGAAGCTCTTTGGGACTTTTAAAATTCAGTTCAGCAGATTTTATGTGTATGTAAAATTACAAGTTCTTATAGTTAAAATAAGCCTCTTTACTCTCTGTAGCAAACATGTTTTCAATTACTTTTTAGGTAGAGTTCATTAATGCTCCTTGTTTACTAATTTTTTGTTCGCCTATTCTCCCTGTCACAAGGGGATTATGAGCTTTTATCCCTGAGCATGTGTACTAATAAATGAGTTGAGTACTCAAGTAGAGAAGCTGACTAACAGAAAGGAAAGAGATTTCTTGAAATACTGCTATTAATTTTCTTTCTCTTCCATACTTAGGAGGGACACTTTCAACCACTTGACAACTTGGTTAGAAGATGCTCGTCAGCATTCCAATTCCAACATGGTTATAATGCTTATTGGAAATAAAAGGTAAAATTTAACCAGTTATGATTTTGTAAGTAGTAAAGATTTGCAGCTTCTGGATTTCAGCTTTAGTGTTTTCTTATTTGTAGGCAGAATGTTAACTTTAAATTACTTTCAATCACTAGATAGTTGTGGGGGGAATCTAAAACCTTTCCTTTTCTAATTAGACCGATACAATGTGCAGCACATGTGGATCAACTTATCTTACTTTCCGAGTACCTTTTTTAGAAGTAATTTTATTTTAAAAGGGTTGACTGTGAATGTATGAAGTCATGGAATATAGGATTTTTTTACATCTGGAATCACCATTAGAAGTACCTACATCTCTCCCTTATAAATAGAGTATGACTCCTAATTTCAGGTCTTCTAAAGTGCTTTAGTTTTTGGTTAAGAATCATGGCAGAGAAAGTGTCATTAAAAAAGAAAAGCAACCCGTACTACAGGATTCACTTAAAATTTTGAGTCTGTTTCATTATTTATGTATTTTAGCTGGGGTTGGGAGCAGAGAATAATTTTTTGCCATTTCCTGGCTGCTCTTTAGACTTTGAGTGATGAAAATACAACTAGAAGTTCTGGAAGTGTGTTACCCAGTTTGTAAATGACTGTTTACTCATGTATACTGTCCAAATTTCTAAAATGGTTCTCTATTGATGCTGAGACTTTGATTTGTGTTGAAGGTCTTTATAAAAACACATCAGTGAATACATTAAGTTTATCTGTAGTTTTTTCTAGTTCTTGATCCAGTGAACTGTAGCATCATGTCTAGATTTTTTTTTTTCCAGAATGTAGGATTTTTGCAAATATCAAAAACATCATCTCAGAATTTAAAAACTAATTAGTTATGGGACTTTACCTAATTGACCTTAATTTGTCTCCATGCCTCGGCAATTCTTGAAGGTAAAGATGCCAGTTGAAATAATGGCTGATATGCAGGTCCCTTAAATTTTAATGAATAGCCAGATCATTTCTTAGATCTTACTGAGAAACAGCCTCATGGTAAAGAGAGTCTGGTTTTGCTACTCTGGCCTCTTGTTTTCGCCTCTTGTTTTCTTCTTCACCCTTCTTCTGCTTTCTGTTTTCCTCCCTCTGACCCCCACTCTCTATCTCCCCCTGAAAAACATCTTAAGCATTAAGTAATTGTGAAGCTTGACAATATTTTTATACATAATCTGGAAAATTACTAATGACATTCTTTTAAATTGAGGAATGTGATAAGCACAGTCTTCACAAATTAATATAGAAATGTAATCTTTTTCTTTAAATGAAGGTTTGGTAAGCCTGTGATGTCCGTGACTCACTGTTTTTATGGTTATGTGAGTAAAATACGGCACTGAGAGAAACAGTGAAGTGTGCTGTTTACTTGAGATAAGTATTATGTAAGTTTGCATACTTAGTTGGCATCTGTAACTATTCCTGATTATTCTTAGCTGTTAAACTAAATTTGTCTTGCATTCTGCTGATGTAGACTAATGCTATCACGATTGTAAGTTGTAATATGCTACTTGTAGCTAGCTCAGTAATTCCTGGTTACAACTAGGTTTTACTCAAACAATAAATATACTTAAACCATGTATTGTAAGTTACAGATTAAGGTGCCACATGAAGTAAAACTTCTTTAAGAAGTTTTTTAAAGGGGATTATTTTCAAGCCTTAAACAGAAGGATGGGAAGAAAACGCCTTCAATTATATTGCATTATCCTGAAAGTGTTACAGGAGTTCTTATGGTAGGGCATACTATTAAAGGTGGATGGAAGGAAGGAAGTGTATACTAGCATAATATTTTTAAAGGAATAAACTTTGTTCTTAAGAGTCCCAGAAGTGCACTTGATATACTTTTTGTAGCATTGACTTATTGCTGGATTTGAAATGTGTTGAAAATTTAATCTGAAATATAATAGCTATTTTTTGAAAACATTACAAATACTAGTGTTAAAACATGACAAATACTGTACTTAATCTTCTTTCCAGAACAAAACATAGCTATATTGATCTAGTAAGACCAAATGCTTCGAATAATTGGAATGGAGAGAGGAAGACATCTGTGGTTAGTAGAAGCAGTTAAAGCTCCGTAAGAATATGCTTAGATATCAGTAGTGAGTTTTGGCTGGGTTATCTCTGCAGTTTTCGATGCAGCTGCACTATTTCAAGTTGAAAGGGTTGTTTATTTCTCTTTTACCATGGAGATAACACTGTAGTGAATCAAGGTTTTAAAAAAGCTATTTTGGAGTGTAGCATGGTAGTAGCAAATAAAGATATTGCTCAAATTCAAAATACAATGTCAGATAGCTACTTCAGGGACAGGAGAATGAACACCTTGTTAAGATATCTTAAGCCTGAGGCTGAGGTACTGGGAACACTTACATATAATTAACTTCAACTTTAAAATTGTTTTCAGAAGACGTTTCTTGTATCTTTATCTTCAAATGTTCCGTGTTTAAATGATGTGTTGAATTGTCTTGACTCTGTAACTTACCTGAGCTAGCATGTAGTTGTAAAAATAACTAGAACCTGCTTTGCTGCAAAATAGATGCCACAGTGAGTATCGCTGATTTTTTTAATATATGTATAATTACAAGGATGGCAGCACTGAAGCCCAGTATGATACATGTAACTGGTGTTCTAGCTGCAAATTAAACCTCTGTATTTGCAGGCTGTTTAGTTTAAAAATGTGTACCTGAGAAGATATTTTTTTTTACATGCACAGCTTAAATGAGTTTATTTTAATATGTATTTTATTTATTACTTATGTGTAAGTATAGCATTGTTATTGCTCAAGATGTAATACACTTACAAAGAAAGACAAACTGTGTACTCCTTGTTTCTAAAGAACCTTTAAAAAGTAAGAGTGAAATTGAAATACTTAGATGTCTGTATTATTCACAGAAGCAGATTTGTCTTTAGTTGTCCAGTCCAAGAAGGGGTTTATTTAACTTTCATCTAAGCAGAAACAAGAAATTGTGTAACTTCAAATTTTTCTGCTGTTAGAGGGACAGGCTTGGAGTTTCAAAACCTAAATGCTAGCTTGTTGGGAGAGAACAGCTACTGTAGTTCAAAATAACTTAGTTTTCCTTTTAAGTCTTTTTATTAGAACAGAAATTGACTGTATGAAGTTTTGTTACTGAATAGAAAATTATTTTTAGCATCATTAAGAAATTATTTATAAAACTCCCTTACCAATTCAGCTTTACAGTGTGGATTGGTAGATAACATTACCCTAGAAAAGAGCGATATTTACTTAAAATGACAAAGTCTACAGTCAGCATTCAGGGAATAGCTGGATAAATATACACACATCCTGTTCAAAGCCATTTCATGAAGTCTTTTGTAAGATATGTATCGGCTAGGATTGATAGCTCAAGCAAGTGTGATATCTGTGGCTATTTTATGTATTGTAAGTGCAAAGCTTATGGTAATTGTACTTTATGTAAGGGCTTGAATAAATATTCATATGTATGTAAGTTCTAATGGGTACTCTTGGCTTATAAGCATGTCTCTGAACAATAATACTTATATGGGCAGGTTAGACCATGCAGGTAACTTTTTTTTCCACCTTAGTGATCTAGAATCCAGACGAGAAGTCAAGAAAGAAGAAGGTGAAGCATTTGCACGAGAGCATGGGCTTATCTTCATGGAGACATCTGCCAAAACTGCTTCCAATGTAGAGGAGGTAACATTGCTAAACACTACCATTTTAGTAAAACAGTTGTTTTGAATCATACTTTGTTATTTGTACATATATTATACCTCTAGGTTTTGGATTCCTTAACTTGAATTAACTACTTTCTAATTTGTATGATAAGGATACTGTCTACGTTGTACCTGATTGCATAGCACTAATTATATTGTTGAGACTCTAGTAATTAATGTATTTGGAGAGGGGTGTTCCGAATATTTGATCAGAGAAATGGCTACTTCCGTCTGCCCTGAAATCTAGACGAGAATAGATTTACTTGTCCAAAGCAAGCCAAGCTATTGGTATCCTTGGCAGATGTCAGTCTAACCAGTTCTGAAGACCTCCAATATTTCACAGGATCTTCAGAGCAATCTATGGCAGTGCTTTGGTATTTGTATTGTTGTCATCTTTCTCCTCCACTACGTAGCAGGAATCTTGTGCAGTTCACGCACTCAGTTTCTTTTTCTGTCCTCTACAGAGCTGCTGAAGAGATCATTGTCTTGATCGCTTATAGTTTATGTATTTAAATGAGTTTTTAAGTCTTTGCTACTTCAAAAAACTTAAGTCTTTCAAAGTTTTGCTTATAGTTCATATTTCTGGACGCATATGAATACTTACATATCTCACCTTCATTTACTTCATGCCTTTCAAAGGTGGTTGTGGTGGGTTGATCTCAACCAGCAGCTAAGTGCCCATCCAGTTGCTTGCTCATTCACCATGTCCAGTGGGATGGGGGAAAGAACTAGAAGAGCCAAAGTGAGGAAGAGCTCGGGGGCTGAGGTAAAGAGTTTAATAAGTGAAAGAGAGAGGTGGGGGAAGAGTGATGGAAAGGCAGTCACAGCTTCCCATAAGCAGACTGATTCCCAGCCAGCCTCTGAGCAACAGTTACTTTGGAAAGACCACTCTGGTTTTTTTTTTGTTGTTGAGCATTATGTCATATAATATGAAATACACCTTAGACCAATTCTGATCAGATATCCTGGCTGTGGATGGCCCCCACCTGCCAGGTTTTGCCTATCCTAAGCCTAATCACTGGGGAAGGCAGAGTAAGAAACAGAAGACCTCAACAATCTGTAAGCATTGCTCATCAGTAGCTAAAACATTGGTGTGTTATCAACACTTGGTTTAGTCACAATTCCAAAACACAGCACTATGGCAGGCTGCTGTAGAGAAAACTAATTCCATCCTAGTCAAACACAGTACAGTGGTAGACAGAGAGCTCCAGCTGAGAGGTTAGTGCTGTGTAAAGCAGAAAGGTTGCTTCACATGTCTTCCCAGACCATATTCAGTTCGTACATCCCCACTTACTAATCTTTTTTACAATAGCATGATACTGTTCAGCTGCTTATGCTTTGTAATCTGCCCTTACTTATATCCAGAATTGTCCTAAATGCAAAATCGTAGGTAACCAATGAGGTATTCTTTTAGTGTTAAAGCCTTCTACTTTTGAAATACTTAGATATTTTATTTTTAAACTGTAGTAAGAGTTTCAGACAGCTTTCACTGACTTTATTCTGGCTTGTTACTACCTGATACTAACATTAGCACCTCTGTGTCAAAACAATACCTGCTAGCGAATGAGTTGTCCAGTACCTAATGCATCTCTGATTATCAGGAGGGAAATGAGCATGACATTCTTTGTCAAAAAAGTTCAAATACAATCCTCTCCTTACGATGATACAAGTGAGTTGCTGCGTACGTGTACTGTCTAATTCTGATGGAAGAGCTTTAGGATATAATTGTTGTTAGTGACAATCAAATGCATTCCTTAAATGATATTCTCAGTCAACACTAAAATAGGTGGCATGATCTAGAATAGTTACATCTGAAAGAGCAAAATCTTAATCTTTGAGCCAGTAAAAATAAGTGAAGAGAAATAGTAGATATGGTAGGTGGAAAACCTAATTTTCTGGAGAAAGGAGGCCATTATCATTTTAATGCTGATTCTGGACTGTTCAGTATCAAAAAGAAGGGAATGAGAAAACAAATGATGTGGAATGGGCAGCATTTGAGGAAGGAACAAGAAGTATGCAAAACAGAGGTAAAACTAACAAAGCTTCAGGACTTTGTTTCAGAACTGGGAGGAAATTACAATTCTGTGACTGCCTTAGAATGTAGAAACTAAACAGGCAGAACGAAATTTGAGGTAATTCATCTAAAATGAGATTAAATTTTAAGCAGAAGAAATCGGGCCCTCTGTCTACAAATGTTCTTGGGGGGGTGGTGGTGTTATCTCATTATAGAGCTGGTTTTCAAACTTTACTTTCTGAATCTGAGAAAAAAGTACTCATGGCAAATGAACCTAGACTGTTAACGGTCTAGAAATGAATCATCTTGGATTGTTCACAGACACCCTTCCTCAAATCACTTGAATCCTGTAGTCCTCTGTAATCTATCTCAGTGCGTGGAAGCAGTGTATGTCATAAACATACATGGCTGCTTGAAACCCTAGTCGCCAGAAATTTAGTTATTTTAACAAAAATGCTTTAATACATGTTTTTAGAGTAGAAAATGAGGTAAACACATCTTTTTTGGGATGGCTGCGTATACCAGTAATTTCTGAAGTAGTAAGAGAAGCTTCTCGGGCAGTTCTAAAAATCCTCGGAGGTAATTTTTTGTGGGGAAAAAAATAAAGTAAAAATTCAGAAGTATTCTGAATTAAATGACTCTGCTTTGTAAAAATGCAGTGTTACAGCAGCCCTTTTTTCTGCTCACATGTTTTCAAGTCTTTTGAGTTTATAGAAGATGTATTTATTAATTCTTACATCTCTTTTGATTAACATCAGTAAGTTTCAACACTTGTCCCGCTTGTGTCCTAAAGGTGTAAAAAACCCAATAGCGAGTGCTTTTTACCCATTCTAATTATTCTTGAGACACTGTTGCTGTATAGGTTACTGTATTGTTCTCAGTCCCACACAGTTAGTGGGTTATCTAACAACATTCCACATTTTCTGAAAGGCTGCTTTAGTAGGAGCATTGCCTTGTGTACTATCAAATTTGACCTGTTACCTTGGGAAGCATAGGCTGCTTACCACTGGAGCATTTCTGCAGTACCCAGTTTAGATCTGGCATGCATTTTTTAACTTAATACTGACTGTAGTCTACGTCCAGACTTAATACCTGGCCCTGCTGTAATAGGACTAGTAACTGCTTGGCTCCTTTACCCTGAATTCTCGCCACCGGGGAATTCGGGAGGTGCAGTGTGTTAGTACACACTTGTGGCACTACCTGAGTTAACAGACAGATCTGCATCATAAAGCACAAGCAGATAGCCATAAAAGTCTTGTGGTCCTAATCATAGCCATTCAGTGAAAAGACTACTTGCATTTCACGCAAATGTAATGCTGAAACACGGCAGCATGTGAGTGTGTCTCCTGTGTCATACCAGAAACAGTTATGTGGCCAGAGGATACTTTTTTTCCCCTAATGGGTTTCTCGTCTCTAGTTGAAAATAGAAGTTTTTCTGACAAGAGTGACAAGACAAGCCTCTAGACTTTGTTTTGATCAGTTTGGTATTGTTTCTGATGCAACTTTATCTCGCTTTGCGTCACAAATGGCTGTTGTAGATGTTTGCAAGTTAACGGTGGATTCTTTACCTGTTTATATGAACAAATCAGCTTCTGTCACTAATGTTATTCAAGCTATTTCCCTTGTTTAAACCCAATTTCCACCACTGCATAATGCCCTAGTCAGTCTGTAGCAGCACATTGACCTGTTCAGTGCTTGGAACTTAAGACAATTTAAAAATGTTCATTGTGTTCTTCAGGATTATGTCTTGTAACCTATGTCTTTGATAGAAATGTTTAGCAGGGGAGAATATCCTGTTAGCTGTTTATCTTGTGCGAGGCTGTTAGGGGATGCTTATACCCTATTTGCACAATAGGTAACTGATCGTCGGGAGCAGGAAGTAGATACAGGCTCTTCCTTTGTAGTAGTTTGTGGAGGCTTCTAAGAATTCTGTGTGGCCACTGAGTTAAATCATCGTGTTTGTTACAGAATGGGATTGGGTGAGAAGAGTTTCTGAATCATTGGGAGGATAGAAGCATTATGGAGAGGGAGGCTAAGCACAGGGTTATAATTTGACTGCAGTGCAAAGCCAGTTATACTAGTCTCATCAGCAGTATCTTCTTTATTTCAATAAGGCTTTTTTGTTGATTTCATTTTAGCCTCTGTGTAAGGCCATCAAGATAGCCAGCTATGAAAACAACTGAATTTTTGTGATTTGTTTCCTCAGTGATTTCTGAGCTATATCACTAGTGCATTTCTCTCCTTAGAATTCTGTTTAAAATTTTGCCTGTGTTTTGGAGTGTACAGTAATGTACTACACTCTGAGTGTGGCTGTTGGCTTTCTCCCAGTAGAATGCATAAATTTGACCTGAAACATTGAACTTGTTTTTAATTCGTGGTGAAAGGAATCTAGTGCTAAGTTTTAGACTCTTGGTGGTTATATCTGTTCTACTTTCTTGGCTTGTGGATGGGGGATGTGCACTCTGAATTACTGTTTGCAGAATTCAATGTCAGTTATGTTTGGGGTTTTTTCTATGAAAACACTGTGGTGCCTGTCGGCAAGCTTTCCACTCGTATACACTTAAGTCTGAGGTCTAAACCCTGGGCATGTTTGCACTTGTTTCAATCATAACATCAGTTACTTTTTGACCTTGCATTAAAAACTGCACGGAACTTTTTCTCTTATTTGCAAAAGACATTAACAATTTTATCACGTTTGGTTTTTCACTGGTAGTTCAACAACATTATACGACTGTTAATTGTAGTCTTATCTGAAATGTGCAGTTCAGAGCTTGTTAAGTGCTTTCTGCTTGAGCAGTGTCTTAACTGTAGAGGCAGAGCAGAATCCACTCAGGTGACCATGCAGTTTCCTACAGCACATAGTACTTACCTTTGTGTCCCTGGAGTATCATTTGTTTGAATCCACTTACATGCACTGGTTCTCAAGAAGTAAAGATACCTGCCTGTATTTGGGAAACTGGAATAAC